TCCCATTCTCCATGCCTACACCGCACCCCACACCCTGCACCCCTCTGGCTCTGTGCTGTCCCTGCACCCTGTTTCCTCTGTGGGTCGGGAGTGAGGGGTGCTTGTCCATAGGGAGGGGCTGGACAGGGCAGGGAAAAGGCTGCTGGGACCCAGCAGCGAGTGAAAGGGGGAGTTCACTTGAAGCACCTTTGCCTTTATGGAAAAAAACAAATGAAAATGCTATTTGCTATTTATAGGGCTACAATGCCAGGACAAAAATGAAAACAAAACAAAAAAAACCCAGTGCAAAATGCAAACATGTAAAAGACAACAAAAAAAGGGGTGGCCAAAAATGTTTTGCTTGGGGCAGCAAAAAACCTAGAGCTGGCCCTGGGGGAGGCGGAGAGGCTGGGCTGGACTGTGGGGAGGGGAGGAGAGGGGAAGAGCAAAATATGGGGAAGGGGCTTGTGCTGAGGGAAGGAGGTGAGGAGAAGTGGAAGAGGAAGAGGAACAGGGAAGGCACCAAGGGACAGAGGTGCAGGAGAGACAAATGCCAGGGGGCCAAGTGCAGACAAGGAGGTAAAGGGCAGGAGGGGAGGTGTCTGTGGGAGGGGAGACAGGGTGATGCTGGGAGAGGAGAGAGTAAGGGCACTGGGGGCTAGAAGGGGGAGGGGGAAGTGCTGGGAGAAGGCTTGAAAGGAGGGGTGGGCATGAGAAAGGTGGGGATGGAGAAAGGCATGTGGGAGGGGAATGGGGCAGAGAGTGGTAAGGGGATGGGAATCAGGGAAAAAGAGGGCAAAGGGGGCAGGGGCAGTAAGGGAAGGGGGAGGTACCAGGAGGGTGCAGGGCTAAGGGAAGGTGCAGGTGCCAAGGGATTCTGGGGTGAAGCAGAAGGGCAGACACCTGCAGGGGAGGAACCAGCACCAGAGGAGAGAGGCAGGGAAAGTGAGTAGAGGGAGGTGTTAGAAGAGGGGTAGCTCACATGATCAGAGTGGGGCTACTGGAGGAGTGGGCATAAGGGGGAGAGAAGGGCTGGTGAAGGGGAGCAGGTTGCAGGAGGGCTGAGGGCAGTGAGAAGGGCAGGAGTCAGGACAACAGAGGAGGGTGAGGAGTTGGGGGGCAGCAGGCACCAGGGGATCTGATAGAGCAAGGGGAGGAGACATGGCAGCAGAGGGAAAAGGGAGAGGTTTATAAAATATTTATTAATAACTTCTGGCAAGTAGGGTTTTCCAGAATTTGTCGAGCCCTGGCCACGTTTATGCTAATGAAGCGTGGAATATTTAAATCCCTGCTTCATTAGCAATTTCGTCATGCCTAATCTACATCTCTCTGTCAACAGAGAAGCGTAGTCAAGACGTACCCTCTGACTGAGTCACTTTGTAGGAGCACAGGCTACAAGTTAATCCAAACAGGTGAAACAAAATATGACACACATTTGCTAAACGTGCAGTGAGGGGAATTTAGACATGCAATCCAGGTCACGCCAGCTCAAAAAATCTGACATCCAGGTAGATTAGGTCTACTGCATTTCTTTTGTCCAAACAAACAGTTACTTCTGAGCTCTATTAGCAACTTTGTTGCTACTTCTTGACTACAACAGTTGAAACAATTGTAAAAAAAATCTCCAGTTACTTTCTATCAATGAGGCCACGGTTTTCAAAGTTGGGTCTGGGGCCTGCCTGGGTAAGCCTCTGGCAGGCTGTGAAATGCTTTGTTTAGCCAAGTGTCCATACTTAGCAGGGGTTCCCAATCTTTTCCAGATGGGGACCCATTTTGACAATTCAGGAAGACTTGTTGACCCAAGGCAATTCACAAACAGGGGGAGGAGAGGGGACAGAGCCACTTGGGGAGACACTTGGTGACCCTTTTGAAATGTAATGGTGACCCAGATTTGGGTCCCAACCCATAGGTTGGGAAACCCTGGTCCATAGGCATGGAGCCTCACCGCTCCCATTGGCTGCGGTTTGCCATTTCCAGCCAAGGGATGCTGTGGGAAGCAGTGTGAGCAATTCATCATGTTTGGAACAGATCATTTGACTTTAGGGGTATGTCTAGACTACAGGTTTTTGTCGACAGAGGCTTTGTCGATAGATACTGTCAACAAAACTTCTGTTGACAAAGAGTGTCTAGACTACATCCAGTTACTTTCCAGTTACTGAGTGTAGATGCAAAGGACAGTGTAGATGCAATAACACCTTCTGTCGACAGAACTTTGTTGACAAAAGGCGTTATTCCTTGTAGAATGAGGTTTACCACAGTTGACAAAACTGCCGAGTTCTGTCGACGTTGTGTCAACAGAACTCGGCGGTAGTGTAGACACAGGTATAGCTTTGTCAACAAAAGCCCATTTTTGTCGACAAAACCCTGTGGTCTAGACACACCCTAGGAAACATACTAAAAACAGCCCTTTCTTATCTTAATCACCTGTGATTCACCCTGTTTATCAAGAAAATTCTGGGTTCCAGCCACAGGGGTGCGAACTGGAAGCCCCAGTCTGGCAACGTCAACACTGTGTGTCCACGCTTTTGTGGACAAACATGTCCACCTTCTACAAGCCACATTTCTTCATTGGGTGTGGGAGAGCACTCCTGGGGTGTGTCTAAACTACACGGCTCCATCAATGGAGCCATGTAGATTAGGCTGATCAGCAAAGGGAAATGAAGCCGTGATTTAAATAATCACGGCTTCATTTAAATTTAAATGGCTGCCGTGCTGAGCCGACAAACAACTGATCAGCTGTTTGTCAGCTCAGCGCGCTAGTCTGGATGCTCCTGCGCTGACCTGAAAGCCCTTTATCGACCTCCCCGTTATGCCGCGTAGGATGAGGTTTACCGGGGAGGTCGATAAAGGGCTTTCATGTCGGCAGGGGAGCGTCCAGACTGCCCCGATCTGCCAACAAACAGCTGATCGGCAAAGCGAGGCAGCCATTTAAATTTAAATGAAGCCACGATTATTTCTTCCCCCTAGTACTTTGGGGAAGAAGGGGGTTGAGCAATCACAAAAGCTTTATTGCTCAGTTGCCAGGGTAGACAAAGCCTTAGATCCAAAGCTCACAGTCTGCAGGGCAATGCCATCCCCAATAACAACCTATGACAGGCAGGGGATGGATCACTCAGTGATTGCCTCTTCTCTTCATTCCCTCTGGAGGACCTGACATTGGCCACTTCAGAAAACAAAGTACTCAATTAGATGGGCCATTGGTCTGACTCAGTGTGATTGCACAAGCAATCACAGATGGAATGCAAATAACAGAGAACAGAATTTGTTAGTGCTGTATCTGGCCTCCCTTTTATATACTGCCCCCTCCCTGTGATATACTGCCCTGTCCATGGTCCTTAGGCTGTCCTGGAGTGGGCAGCACTAGAACTGGGTTATTTGGTCAGCATTAGGCCTAGAGGGGAGCAGTGAACGGGGCTTCTGGGAGCAGCTTGTCTTTGATCTCAGGCTGCTTGCTTGTCCCTGTGACTGCTGCTGCAGAGGGTTGGGATAGGCTCCTTCCAAGTGTCCATGGTCTAAGGCTGACCCCAGATAGAGGAACTGGCAATTCCACCCTGTCCTTAGTCAATAGGGATTTTGGGGGGAACAGTTTTGAAAAGGACACAGGTGACCTTCCTTCACTTAAAATTTAGCCTCACAGAATCCTTCACTCAACTGCTGAATATTGGCACCACCTGTTGGCACGTTTGCGTAATAGTCCATATTTGTAAATGTTCCTTTCCATCATGTGGTTCAGGGTACAGGACAGGATAAATCTGAATAGTGCTCGTGCTGTATTTGAGGAGCAAGTTATAGGTTCCCATGGCTCTCTTCATTGTTTCAAGACCAATGTAGGTATCTATCCTGTGATACCCCCGTTGCCTTATGAGAATTGGCTTATGGATATGAATATGCATCACTCAAAGATGCTTTAGACAAAATATTTCAAGTTTAATGTTACAGTCTGCTGGATCTGCATATCCTATTTTTGTGCAGGTATCATTCCTGTAAGTGAAGTTAGAAATATGAAGTGTGGATCTGTTTATAGTTCTAAATGTGCTAATGAGCAGCCATTACTGGTGCCCCAGAAACCAAATGGCTTGGTGATCAACTCAATGACCTGTAAATAAGCTTTGTTTACCCTATATGTCCAAAAGGTGGTTAGTCCTAGAAAGGCATGTGGCCATCCCACTTGGTACTGGTACCCATTTTGACCCTGGTATTTTTCCATGGGAGTGGAAGGTGTAAAACAAATGATTCCTACCCTGGGGGAAAGTCTATTTAAGCAAGAGGAAGCACTCAGCCTTTGGTGTCAGCTGGATTTTGAAATTGCCTGGCACACACTTAGGCTATGTCTACACTACAGGGTTTTTGCGCAACAACAGCTGTTTTTGCACAAAAACCCACGGAGCATCCACACCTGAAGCACATTTTTGTGCAAGAAAATTTACAGCAGAATGGCAGAACAGAGGGGTTTTTGTGGTGTAGGTAGACCTCTTTCTATGAGGAATAACTCCTTTTTGCGCAAGAGTTCTAGCAGAAAAAGGTGTGTGTGGATGCTCAACAGGGGTTTCTTGCGCAAAAAGAGCCTATCTGAAAAAGCACAGGTGCTCTGATGGCTATTCTGTGAATGGCCATCAGAACTTTCTTGCACAAGAGTGTCCATGCTTTGCGATGTGCTTTTGAGGTGTTGATGTGCTTTTGTACAAGAAGTTTTTGTGGAAGATCTCTTCCACAAAAAGCTTCTTGCGCAAAAAGCCTTCAGTCTAGACATAGCCTCCGAGAATATAAAAGAACTTTGAAAAAACTATAGACCCAAGTCACAGTAAAGGATCAACTCTGATTTGAAGCATTTCACCCAAGATCAGAACAGCTGTTTAGAGTAAGAATTTGCATGTAACAAGTTTCTTACTGGACTAGAATCAGTTATGCATTTTCTATTCATTTTAATTTAGTAACTTACTTTGCTCAAACTGTTTTCACTTGTAACCACTTACATCCTACTTTTTGTACTTAAATAAATCTTTTATTAATCAAGTTTGGTGTAAATAATTGTTACCTGTGGGGGTAGGGGAGCACTGTCATTTCTCTCTTTCATTGATAAAGGGGTCTAACCTTGAAACTTTCTTTGTATAAAATTTTTACACAGAGTAAGATGGATTTATTTGGGGGTTTTGGTCCCATTTGTAGATTGGTTTGCTGTGTGTTGAGCACTTAGAGCTGAACCCTTCCAGAGCTAAAGGGGTTCAGTTCCTACATTACTCTGCAGGGGGCAGTAACCTCAACTCTGTGCCTTGTCTGGAGGAGACCAGAGGATCTGGCCCAGCAGGACCAGGTGGTGGGAGACCCAGAGAGCAAGAAGGCAAGTGTCAGTCGCATGACCCAGGGATAGACCAAGAGGACTACGTCTGTGATTCCAAAACTGGGAACCTTCTCACAGATGCACCTGTAAAGAGTCAGAAGTTGAAAAGAGGATGGACTGATGTCTATCATTACCAGTATCCATCAGCAGCAAAAACTTGATCATGCAGAATATGCCCATCTGGCCCTTAGAGATGGAGAATATGGGTGAATTTTTCATGGCAGTGGCTGCATCTTCTCCAGGCTGCAAAATTAAAATAAATAAATAAATAAATAAAAAGTCTAAAATCAAATGTTCTTTTTGTGTCACTGTTGCTGTTAGTCCCCCCCCCCTTTTTTCCCCCTCCTTTTGTTGGTACATCACTCAGCCTGAGCAGTGAACACAGGCTAGTCAGTCTCACTTTTGCTTAGTCAATATCCCATCTGTTTCATGCTCAGATTCTGGCACAAGGCAGCTGTGTTTGGGCTGCAAGCACCCCTGACAAATGTTGAAAAATCGAAACCTAAGAACTGAAGTGCCTTCCGAATCCTCACGTTTTACTGTGGCTGTACCATGTCTCAGTTCTGTGTGAGAATTTAATCCAGTGGAAGCAGCCTAAAGGAGCAGCTGATTTTCCATCCCACTGTGGGGTATACTTACGTCTTTACTCTGAGCACCAGAGTAGTCAGTCCCGGGCCTTGTGCTCAGTTTCATCGTGGCGGTTACCTTGAGCACGCCATCCTATTCCGCTTGGTTGTGGGACTGTGAGAGGAGCAACGGGGAAGAGACACAGGACTTTCATCAATTTGGATCCCTGTTATCCCAGGCTGCATCTGGTAAATGATGAACCGAAAGCACTTTTGTTCACCCTGAATGAAGACTCGGCCTATGGCTCATACACCACACAAGTCCCACTTGAACCCTTTCTGCACAGGGGAGAGTTTCACCCATTGCCGTTGTGTAAACTCGTTCTCTATAAAAGCTAATGCTGGCCTTAATAAAAGTCCCAAGAACATGCCATATGTGTAATAACCCTCCAAAGCTATGAACTTTTAGAATTTCTGTCACCATTAAAGCACACTGGACACACAGAGCTATATGGAGCAACCGAGGGAGAAAGGGTCTTTATTTTGCTGCAAGATGAGGCTGCTAACTTTGGAACAGGGCCCGCTGGCCTGCCTGTGCCACAAGGGGCCCACTGGCCTGCCTGTGTATATAGAGCCCACTGGCCTGTTTGTGTATATGTCTCCTGCTGCACAGAAACGACTCTGGGATGCTCCCTAAGGCTATGTCTAGACAGTAGGGCTATTTGGGGATTCCAGAAGTATCCCAAAATAGCAATTTCATGTCCTTAAACATGCCCATTATTTCAAAATATATTTTGTTCCCCGGGAGTTAAGGGACTTGTTAGAATAGCGCTTTATTTCAAAACGTGCTCAAAATAAGCTAGGCAATTTGTGTAGTGCAAATTGTGTAGCTTATTTCAAGGTAAGGGTGCTGTGTAGACGCACGCTGAGGGTACCAGTGTTGTGGGACACCACACTCCCACCTTGTCTTTGCCTATCAGGGATCAGCACCCTGACTCTTCCAGCCCTCGCCTCCCACTGTCCTTCTGACGGTTAGAGATCAATATGCCCAACCCTCAATCCTGTCAAAGCTTCCCTTGAAGTGTCCATCCCTTCCCTTTCCCCATTCATAGGGCACAGATCCACAGTTCCCAAAGGCCCAGTGCTTCCCAACGACACAGCTCTGCTGAACACACAGCACTGAGATGTGCGTAGTGTGAAAACACACATATGTTTTGTGAACCAAGCACAGGGATGTGAGTCATAGCAAGTTGGCTGAAGTACCAGGAACAACTGGTTACATCGAAAAATCGTAATGCACCTCCGAGGGTATGTCTACAGTACAAAGTAATTCGAACTAACAGACGTTAGTTCGAATTAACTTTGATAGGCACTACACATACAAACCGCTAGTTCGAACTTAATTCGAACTAGCGGAGCGCTTAATTCAAACTAGTTAAACCTCATTCCACGAGGACTAACACCTAGTTCGCATTAAGCAGTTCGAATTAAGGGCTGTGTAGCCACTTAATTCGAATTAGTGGGAGGCTAGCCCTCCCCAGCTTTCCCTGGTGGCCACTCTGGGCACCACCAGGGAAACTCGTCTGCCCCCCTCCCGGCCCCGGAGCCCTTAAAGGGGCACAGTCTAGCTACGGTGCCCGTGCCAGGTGAAAGCCTACCAGCACCCAGCCAGCAGACCCTGCACCTGGCACGGCACGAACCAGCCACCTGCTGCCACCCAGCCCTCCGCCTCTTCCCGGGACCAGGATGGCGGCTCCCGGGAGCCTGCCCAGGTCC